AAAAAAAAAAAAAAGACCCTCATAACCAAAGCTTTAAATAGTCAAAATAGGCATTACTTACTTTTGCTATAGTTTGGTATAACCTAAGTGTAAGTACCTGATATCTACAACTGGGCCAGCATGTTGTCATAGATACTTCTGAGTTGGTACTGAGTGTTGTGTTCATTTTCTTTTCTTTTTTCTTTCCTAACCCCAGAATCTGAGGAGGAGGTGGAGGAACCTGAGGAAAGGCAGCAGACACCAGAAGCAGTTCCTGATGACACTGGGGCTTACTATGAGCAGGCTGTCAGGTAATTAGATCAAACTGGGAAGTCAGACATTGTGTAGTGTGGTCTGGTCAAGGGGAATGCTTCCATTTCTGACTTCTTCAGGAAAGTTCAAGCATAAAGGATATTGAAATTACAGGCTCTTGGCTCTGAGACTGAGAAACTAGGTTTTCAACTGGTATACTTTTCTGTTACGAAGCATGTAATCCTGTTGAACGTGTTAACACCCTCCCTCCTCCCCTCAGGTGAACCATACCCATGGGTTGTCTCTGTAGTTCCTCTTGAATGTAGTGGACTTTCTCTGCTTGGGTTAAGATCTCACCTTTTGGTACTTCCCGTTTACAGAAATAAAATGTTACTATTCATGGTGTTTCTGATAGCAATGACTTGGAAGAACAGCTGGAAGAGCCAGTAGCAGAACCAGAACCTGAGCCCGAGCCAGAGCCTGAACAGGAGCCTGAAGCAGAAGTGCAGGAAGAAAAGTCTGAGCCGGTACTGGAGGAAGCAGCTCCTGAGGAAACTGTGCAGAAGAGTCCTTCTCCAGTTCCTGCAGACCCAGCTCCTGCAGTGCAAGAGGACTCCAGGGTAATGCAAATGGCTGGCTCCCACTGTATTGTTTTTTCATAGGTTCACCTTTTTCTTTCATGTCCATGTAGAATTTTTGCCTTGGCAAGATGGGGCATCTACTTTTTACAGTAGTTCTCTCCTGACCCTTAACCAGATATCTTACATGTTACATTTCTTCCCAGAAAACGTGATTGGACATCTAATTGTTGCTGATATCAGAATGACGGTGCATTCCCCTTC